GTTACAGCTTCCTTACTGTGGCTGCACGTGCGTTGTTTATTTACAGTTTTTGTAAGTTTACAGATGTTATGTTGAACGCCACGGTTTTTTGGAGAAGGATAAATACCGAACCAGGATAAAAAGGAAAAGGAAAGTAGAACAAACAAAAGTAGAAAAAACGAGAAAGAGGAAAAGGAAGCACAGATACGGTTCTCGTGTTGAACCCTAGACGACCGATGTAGCACTTCTTGCTTCTCTTCTTCCTGATGAAGTTGCTCTTCCACCCAAGGTTGTAATATGGGAACTAAATCATAAAGTTCTTCCTTCTTCTAGCGGGGTTAATTCGTTAAGGCAAGAAATCTTATCCTTAGGGTTTAAACTACGATAAAAAATTGAATACGAATAACAACTATTCTAGTTATTACTAAATTTACATATTCTTTTTAAATTAAACTAATAGTAGACGGAAACTAACAACTAATGTGTTTAGTCCCGAATTATCAGGCCTGATAACGAAATTGAAAAAGAATTAACTTACGGGATTACTCTTCCACTTAGGCTGTGCCGTGTCCGCCGGGATCAGTGATGGACACCACTGGGATCACATCCGACACAAGCCACATACTTTTTTTTCAATCTTTTATTGTCCTCGCGGAGACCACCTCTTACTCTGATGGCCTAACTCGAACTGACTGCCGCTTTCTTTGTTTCCAATCTGGAACCCGGAGCCCTCCGGGTCACGATCTTGGAGTCCGTGAAACGCTTTCCGCTTCTCGTGCTTCTCGTCTCGGTTCGACCCGCCACTATTTAAGTTTTATTAAATTTTTTCCGAGAAGAAAAGAAAAAATATAATAGTGGTTGGAAAAGACCATTCCTTCATTCACCCTAGTATATTACTTTTACATACACCAGATTTCATTCATACTGCCCCAGAATACTCGCTATTTTACGAGGTCTTTGCATCAGTATATATATATAAGAAAGAATAACATGACATAAATAAAAACTCATTTTTATACAAGCCAACACACATCTCATTCATTTGTGCCTGAATATAAGATATTTCTCGGGAATTGAGAGGTCTGCATCATATCATTCCTAATCAGAATTGCAAGTGGTTAAAGAAGAGTAAGGGGGCGGTGACTTTATCATAAAAGTCTGTTGTGACATTGATTTTTTATTATCCTTTTCATTATAAGCAGAAAATAAGTAGTTTCAACAATCCCTTTGAAATGATTGGTTTTATCAGAATATTCTTATGTACATATAGCGGGTTCATATATTTTTGTTAAACATTTTATTATGGTATTTGTAGAAGTGTCACTTTATAGCGCAGTTTTACAATCTCAACTGAGGAATGGCAACAGTTTTAACCGCGATGTTTAATATATGTATATACCGGAAGAAATCGTTATACGCTTTAAGTGAAAGCAGACGGGTAGCTTTCACAGGCATGGCAATAAAAGAAGTGGAAAGTTTTGTACGTCCACGTTTAGGAGGATCGTTCGGAAAAGCTATAACTAGTAACCAGACGCCGTTAAACTTTATGATAACGGCGAAACTCATATCGTAAACTTTCATTGCCCCCGCGTTTATCTTGTTATGTCGAGAAGAATCGGGATGCGGAATGTTGAGTGTTTTATTTTTTAAATGAATTTCAATTGATTAATAAAATCGTTATACATTTATTCATAATGTATCCCAAGATATCGTTGTAGTTTTGCGGAACTACAGAAACATATAGTCACTCCCTATATAATCTAAATTAGTCTGAAGAAAAAGTTTCCAGAAAAATATAGTTTTGTTAAAGTATTACATAACATTTTATTATGGTTTCGTGGTCCGCTTGACCAAATATATTCTTTTCAATTAATTAAGGTTTTTAGTTTGAGATAAAATAGTCAGTGTCACGAGAGGGATTCGAACCCACGACCTTCGACTAGATACGCCGCTGCTCTACCAATTGAGCTATCGTGACTTCGATCCACTCGGACCCAACTTCCCATCTCAACCCCACCTTTTGAATTTTCCCACCTTTTTGCCATTTATCAAATGTCATGAGATCTATTTGATTCTCGGCGAGAAATGAAATGGACACGGAGAGCTTTAGTGAAGTTATATGTACTTCATTTTAACTTATTTAATTCACTCGTTTTCATGGTCCGCTTGACCGATTAATATCTTTCAATTAATTAAGGTTGTTAGTTTGAGATAAAAAATTCAGTGTCACGAGCGGGATTCGAACCCACGACCTTCGGCTTGATACGCCGCTACTCTACCACTTGAGCTATCGTAACTTCGATCCACTCGGACACCAACTTCCCATCTCAACCCCACCTTTTGAATTTTCCCTCCTTTTTCGCCATTTTTCAAGGAAGCCTTTTTTTCATTATTTTCTCTCTATATTACTCGCTGTTTTACTTAATAAGCAACAATACAATCATATAATAATGCAATAACAATGTTATAGCATTTAACATATTGTTGATTATCTGAATAGGTATCTCAATATAATTGTTGTTAAATTTTGTAACATGAACGCAGATCTATCTGTCCATGGATTATGCTCAATTTGCTCAATTACTGGAAAGAGTAATGTAGTATTACATAGCTGTATGTACGATACCACTCGCAGATGATTGGCCTTATTAAAGGCTGAAGTGCCAACGTAAGCCTTTATTGAAAATTTCTATGGTCTGGAAAATTAAGCTTATCTCCCGGAAAAGCAAAATTAGACGAAAGTCTAAACTATGGGTACAAATGGTGAAAAATAAATATATATATAGACTTATGAGTTAATTTTGTTGTGCTTCCATGCATTATTACTTTTCTGTCTGCAGACTACGTTACTAAGCAAATTAAATCAATAATAATATTGACTAATATTATCTAGAATATTTAATTTTTGGTATTTCTATACCTTTTTAAAAAGGTGTTTTAAAGACATGTAACCTATGAAGTTACGGCATTTTGTGCATTTTTCTGTAAATATTTTAATTTAACATTATTATTTTTCAATTCACTAGTTTTAGTGGTCCGCTTGACCAATTAATATCTTTCAATTAATTAAGGTTTTTAGTTGAGATAAAAAAGTGAGTGTCACGATGGGATTCGAACCCACGACCTTTGGCTAGATACGCCGCTACTCTAACATTTGAGCTATCGTGACTTCGATCCACTCGGACCCTACCTTCCCATCTCAACCCCACCTTTTGAATTTTCCCTCCTTTTTGCCATTTTTCAAATTTCGTGTATTTGATTCTCGGCGACAAATGAAATGGTCACGGAGAGCTTTAGTGAAGATTTGGGTTCGAATCCCGCTCGTGACGCTGACTTTTTTATCTCAAAATTCAATTCCGTTAGTCGTAAAGTTAAAATGTATGAAATGTTTTATTTTTCTAATAGCATTCTGTGTTGTTCTAATTAGCCTAATAAGAATACGTATTATGGAGTGGAGTAGAGTATGAATTATGGATGAAAAATATTTTGAAACATGATGGGGGTCCGAAATTCTGGAGGAGACGGTGGGAATCGAACTCACGTCCGCGGGGTCAACGAGCCGAGATTATGACGCCCTAAACACTCAGCTACCGCAAGCCTCCAGACTAAAAGAAGTTACTATGGTTTAGAATCGTCAATAGAAGAAATGAGATTAATGGCGGATATGTACAATGCTTGATAAATACACAACATTCAGATTCATCTTCGCTTGATGAACCAGATATAATAGAAGGTAAAATAACTGAATTTTTTGGTTATGAAGTCGAATCTAACTTTACAGGTTACAAGAAAGATTAGATCCTCATCAAGAGTCATATACAATGTAGTATATCACTCAATTTTTTCCTGTCAAGTTTTTTTTAATATAACTTGAAATTTTTAAGACTAATCGGTCTTTTTCAAATTTGTTGATTTATGTTAGAAAACATTTCTATGTGTTAAAAAAATTAAACTAATTACATTATTTATTTAAACTTATTTGGACACGTTCAAATCGCTGAAGTTTAAAACAAAATTCAAATACCGGAAAACGAGGGAAAACTTTCTAACATAAACGAACAAATTAATAAATTAGAATTTTATCGACAATTAAAAAATCAAAGAAATTACAATGAAATTATGTACATAATTAATCTGTCTGTAATAAAGAATTAACCTTTCTGATGAAAAACTTAAGATCTTTGATTCTGAACTACTGACAACTTTTTCTTTTCTTTCTTCAACTTGCGCACTTTCCCCAACATAATATAAAAGAAAAGTCTAGTAATTTAAATGAAAAGGTTTCTAAAATATAGGCACCCAATAACTTACCCTGGAAAGAATCATCGGCAAGGTAATAAAGAGGGTCCTATTTCAGGTTGAGAAACATTACCCGGGAAATTTATATTCTTAGGTAAGTGAAAGAAAAATATTTAAGAAGTTGAAAACGGCGGGTTTTGGCGGCGATCCATTTTTGCAATAGCTCATATATCATACTTATTTGCTCTAGCGAGCATTTTAAAAATTATGCGTGAAATTAAAACAGAAAATAATCTCCTCAATTAAGAAGGGGCCGTAATAAGTGAAGGCTAATTGTAAAAAGACAACTGCCTGGTTTTGAAAACCAACTTAGGCCTAAAATCCTGTTTGTGGATCCACGTGGTCTTTTTAAGTGGGCAGTGTTTTATTCTAAATCCACCTCCAGTAGAAAGTTTCACCCGAGTCGAAACTTTGTTAAAGCGAACCTTAAATTAGGTCACATAAGGGCGCCATTTGTAAACAAAACTCTATTCTACTTCAAGCTTAGTTTACGACACGGTACGGAGTAGCCTTATTGGCTCAACTTACTTTTTAGCCGGATCCGTCCTATTGGCTTTTTCTCTCCCTTTTTTACTTCTTGTTTATTGCTCAATACGAAGGTCACACGTGCAGAATAAGCAGGCGGTTATAGAGTAATAAGCGTTAGTGATTCTAATTTTTTCGATAAATCTTTAAAACGGCAACACCGTTATGGAAAATTTTATGAAATGAAAGGTACTTACATAAAACTCTGAGGGTCAATTCTCTGGCGGCTACTTTTCCAACGCCGTTCGAAGCCAGACAGCGGTAGACACCGGCCTGATGTCGGTTCACCTCTCCGAGCAGTATGGTGGATCCATTCGTAGGCCTTAAACTCGGATTGTACGTATTGTTCGTCTGAAACAATTGTTACCGTTAACACTCATGTAGGATCGTCTTTTATCTCATTCACGCTAAATTCGCTCGGCACACTGGTACAAAGATAAAAGATACTTTTCAAGATTAACTAAGAGACAAATATTTGCTTTGTCAGCAGTGGCCCGTTATTGATCATCCTTGTTCTTGCCGTTTGTTCAGACATGCACAAATAAAACGGGAGATAGAATAAGAGAACTTAAGAGGAACTTTTTTGGAAACGCTTCTTACTTTTCATCCTCACAAAAGACACGTAATCTTATATCGCCTTTTTGTTTACATAAAAACCCAAAACTAAATTACGAATTCAAATACCAAATATTATTTAAAAAAATAATTGCCAACAAAATACACAAATATGTTGAACTGATCGATCCCTTTAAAGGGTCCGTCTACTTTAGCTGATGTTAATGTCACTCTAAGTGTTCACATCCTCAGAAAGAAAATAAATACACAAACATAATGTGTGGTGATTAGTGACCGTTAGTCGATGATTATTGATTAGATCGTGAGATTCGGTCTGGTGTGATGTAGGTTTAGAAAAACATTTTCTTTATCGTGCAACGTTTCCATCTTTATTGAGATCATCTTCAGGGCCTGGGATTTACAAACATTATATATAACATAACAAATACACGTAGGATGTGAAAAAAAGTGAATTTATACAATGCAAATTTATATTCATTAAAGTTTTCTACTCACTATTACTACTCAACAAACACTTTGAGTGAGTAGAAATACTTCGATTGAATATAAAAAATATATTTTTTTGCATTGTAAAAATTCACTTTTTTCCACATCCTACATGTATTTGTTAAATTTAAACAATGTTTGTCAATCCCAGGCTCTGAAGATGATCTCAATAAAGATCGAAACATTGGCACGATAAAGAAAATGTTTTTCTGAAACCGCACCTCACGATTTCCGAATAAAAACAAACAATATTAACGTTGATAATAATAATCATAATAATTGTAATTATTGTAATTGCTAGAGTGTATATAACCTCTCCTTAAATCTGTAGGTGTTTATAACTTGTAAATTATTAATGTATGGAACGACCTTTTGTTGTTATAATATTTGTTCTATCTTCCTAGATAGAAGCTCAAGAAATATTAAACTTCCTTTAAAAATATTTCGCAGATAAATTTTTAACTGTGAATACCAAAATTTGTGGCTATGGCATTCACTGTTCCAAAAAAAAAAAGGTTTTGTGTACAGAAGTGATTATATTGCTTTTGTAAATAATTTGAATTATCTGGGTGTTCCTTTTTCTCCTTCAGATTAATTCTCACAAGCCAGAATATACTTTTTGGAGAAAATACTGCAGCTCATACTCACTAGTTGGATTGTTTAAGTGTGTAATGTGATAATTGTACAAAGTGCAAGTTATATCACTCTACCTCTGAAGGTATGCTGCTACAATTTGGGCACCTAAATATACTAACAAAAATGAAAGGGACAGGTGAAGTTTTTAAAATAAATTTTACCAACCCCAAAGAACACTCCAGATCCATAGGTCAGATTATAATGTGGAAGGACCCATTTAAAATTAAAACGTATTTAAAAAATGAATTTTTCTTTTTTTTTGGACACCTGGATCTGGGGGAATTTTGAAGGCCAGAGTACTGCAGATTTACAGCCTATTATACTCCTTTGGCTCCATTTTTGGGAGCACGCAACCAAACGTGTATGAATTGAGCCCCCGATGTGCCTATTTTCCTCCATTAAGGAAACCCTTTTTAGAGGATCGGGACCGAAATTCAGGATCGTTAGAACCGATACCGCCCCGGACGTTTCATTGATGTGCCGAGTCAATTTTCACTGCGCCCCTTATGTGTCAGGAAAAATTCCCAGAGGCCTCTAGGTGGGAATCGAACCCACGACCGCGGGATCTACTTGCCGAGAGCCTGACGCCTTAACCACTAGGTCCCAAGAGTAAGGTTGGTTGGTAACAGCCAATTTTTAGAAGGCTGGAACAGCACCTGATCAAACAATGACTTCAAGATTTTTTAGATAAAATAGATAATAATAAAAACTCTTAACTGGTTTGAAAACTCTCTCTTATTGATAACAAACATATATTTCTGGTTCAAGTGTTGAAATTGGTTGAGGAAAATTATGAAAATTCGGTAGCTTCTATCGAATATAATCTAATTAGCCTAGATTTAGAGTCTATTCTGAACAGCCCGTATATTAGCTATTATCGTTCATTATGGAACTTCAATTTAAATGATCCAAGGTAAATATTTCAAAATTACGTTGTAAATGCACCTGTACATAATCGAAAATCTTGCTTGATTCAGAACTACCTGTCATCAAGTTAGTATAAGTCGAATAGATGGCTGGAAAGGACTTTCTTATTTTATATATGAGACCTTTACGCCAATCTTTATCGAATGTTTGGGCCACATCTAGGAATACAGCCGTGCATATTTATTATTCCTGAAGTGCTTTTTCAATGGCTTGGGTCAATCGTAGAATGCTAGCGTTAAGAGCGAAACTGATGGTTGATATAATATTTTTCTCTCTAATTTTTAAATAAAACACAAACCTACTGAAGATAGCGGAATTTCTAAATACGTCTGATAGAAGAAACCAGCAAGGATAGGTTGACCAATGATCAGTAAAGATTCAAGTCTGATTCATCACTCCGCAGGCTACATAGAGAAATCTCCAGCATCCCCTACCAATTCAATCAAATGATCATTACCTTTGAATTTGTTCATTATCAACGACTGAAGGAGATGATCAGCTTTGAGTTTTCAAATCAAAATTTCAGCTTCTGATCCGAGCAAACTACTTACAATCAACGCAATACAACTACATATCACAAATTTTCCTACCAGTCTCAGCTGCCACTTTCCCTATGCCACAATAACAAAATGACGAAAATGCACTATTTTTCCATTTTAAATTAGCAAAACCCTTCGTAATAATACGAAATCTCGAATAAAACTGACGAATAAAAACACTTTAATTAATCCCTTTTAAGAGTGTGCAACCAATATTGAGTAATAATTGCTTTATGTGAAAGTTAGCAATGTCGATAAAAACAGTTGAATTCAAAGGCAAGCCAAAACAATTTTTCTACTACACCAAGGCAATTGGGAAAAGGTACAATGCAAATATATTGATGTTTACCAATTGACTTGTCCCGGAATGTAGGTCCACGCAGTAAAGTCTGCCCGTACGGCATTGTGGGTTTAAGTTCCTCATGTGTAAACACAGGTAGCATTTCCACCGGGAAGACAAAGTTCGTCCGAAATTGATATTTAAAGCCAACAGATAAGTCGGAAGCGTGATTCTAATTTGTAGTCGAGCGGTGTTGAAAATGGGTCGGAGCTAATACCATAAACCTCGATCCTTCTAATGCGCCGGTATATACGGTTCTCCAGATTTATGTCATTTGTTTCTGAAAAAACAAGGTACACATCGAATCGAGAATTTTAATTGAAAACTAATATTACTGCCTTTGCACGCAAATAAAGAGAGATTTTTTAATTTTCCTACAGACAGATAAACCCCATCCCCAAAGGTGGGATTTATAGGCTAAGATTGCATTTTTGTTTTTGTGTTTTAATGGTTGGACTTTTCCTTTGTTTTTTGAAATAGAAACATCAGGAGCCTTTAGCTCAGTAATGAACCTGGTTTTCAAACAATAACGTTAATATCACTGGCGATAATCTAAAGAAACTGTTTTGAAACTATACTATTTACGAAGTTTACTAATGTATAACTATACATGTACTAAGAGTATGTACATACCTAATTGTAAACTGAATGAATTTGGGATTCTTCTGTTATGTTCATTTAGTTAAAACCAATAAAGAAATTATTACTTTAGCCGGATTTCTATTGATAACGCCATTTAAAAAAATATTCATTTCAGTATAACTCAATCTAATCTTATTGCACATACAAAATTATAACTAAAATTCATGATCTGAAAGAGCATAAGAACGCTGAAGGTTATCATTACTGCTGTGCGTACCAACGTATCATAAAGTAACAAAAATTGACAAATATAGTTTTTTGATAGTTTTTAATTATGAAAAATAGAGATGTAATGTATTATGGTATGGTATGGTGAAAAAGGATACTAGGAAGCGGGGTTTGCACTCCCAGGCACTGCAGCCTTCTGGCTTGTTGTACCTTCCTAGTTTCTTAGTTCAGTGCAATAGACTCAATCTTTACTTTTTAGAAGTATCAGGTCATTGACTGTCGCTGCTGCAATTTGATTCCCTAAGTTTTTTCCATACGTTAAGTTAAACCTCCATTGAGCTGTTGCTTCGCATTCGAAGATGATAGGAGTGGCTGTTTCTCCTCCTCATTACATAATCTGCAAATGGGATCATCGCTGTATATGTCCATGTTGTGTAGATGTTTTCTCAGATGCCAGTGGCCGGTTAGTAGTTCTACCACTCCTCTGAGTTTGGCCCTCTCCAATTGCAGCAGTGTTTTTGCCAGTCTCGGTGAGGGTTGTTTCATCATAAGTGTTTGTACACTTATTGTGTCTAGCACCGGAGTTTATCCACTCCTCCTTTTGCTTTGTTTGGATCCATTCTGCGATGGAGGATTATATATTTGTTTTTGTTATCCCAAGGTTCGGGGCTATGTATGATCTTGCAGATCCTCATCTGGCCAGACTATTTGCTTTTTCATTAACCAAAATTCCCCTGTGCTTTGGCACCCAAGATATCATCAGGTTGTTGTGTTCCCCTGGTTTGGAGATTTTGGGTGCATTCACTGACTAATTTTGATGTGAGTCTTTTACATGCTAATGCTTTAATGACTGCTTGGCTATCTAATCTTATGAGAATTTTTTTGTCAGTGTAACCTCTTTTAAGATTTTCCTGGGCTCAAGCATTGATGGCATGCATTTCTGCTTGAAAGACCGAAATGTACTTCCCTAATGAGTTTGATTGCTCATGTTTTGGGCTTGTACAGAAAACGCCTGATCCGGTTCCTTCGTTTGTTTT